TGAAGAAGCAGATTATACAAACATACATGGAAAACAGAAAAATAAGTGTCTTATAAGTGTAAGTACTGCTTTTTATGTGGACCATGGGATTTGAGTGGGAACAGGCAAGGTAGGTCAGGTGCCTGCAGAAAAGCCAGATGATTAAATTTTATTTTATCCTGAGGTAAAAGGGAAGCTGCTAAGTTATATAGCATGTAAAATTTCCTACACTAATTTGACAACAAAATCTTATAAGGTGTTGCTATATAGTTGCATAATCATCTTCTAAAGTGCAGACTCACTATGAGTTGACTAATTTGGAATTAGTATTTGTACAGTTATAGGTAGATTATTGTATCACAAGATTATATCTGCATTTTCAATAGGGACACAGCCTGTTTATTCTTGTCCAGCCATAACTTGATAGATGATGCTTGTGAAAAAGTGAAGACTATTAAATTCCTAGGCTGAACTGAGTCAAGTAGGAAATTTATATTAATAAAAGCCTAGGTGGCCCTCGCGCCCTCACATCATCACAAGATGGCCAGCCCCACGTTGTCACATGATGGCCACCACAAGATGGCCAGCAGGGGAGGGCAGTTGTGGGTGATCAGGACAGCAGGGGAGGGCAGTTGGGGGTGACCAGGCTGGCAGGGGAGGGCAGTTGGGAGGCGATCAGGCCTGCAGGGGAGCAGTTAGGCGTCAACCAGGCCAGCAGGGGAGTGGTTAGGAGGTGATCAGGCTGGCAGGCAGAAGCAGTTGGGGGCAATCAGGCAGTCAGGCAGGTGAGTGGTTAGGAGCCAGCAGTCCCGGATTGTGAGAGGGATGTCCGACTGCCAGTTTAGGCCCGATCCCTGTGGGATATCCCCTGAGGGGTCCCAGATTGGAGAGGGTACAGGCTGCGCTGAGGGACACCCCCCCCCGTGCATGAATTTCGTGCACCGGGCCGCTAGTATTTTATAATCAAGAAAGGTCATTGATTAGTACTTATTGAGACCAAGAGGTAAAAATTTCTTCTTAACTTAAAAATTTTCATTTTTAAGTTCATTTTCTCATCTACAAACTGACAATTATAAACTGTATAAAGTTCATGTAATTTTTGTGATAGCAATGAGGTATATATGCAGAATTATTGATGTGCTAGATAATATTCAGTAAATTAATGTTATGTGGTTATTAGAGAGTTGCTAAAACAAGGGAAATAAGTAAGACTGATAAAAGACAAAGGTAAAGTGTCAAAATCCAAAATTTATCCAATCAAGAGTTCAGTTTAATAGATCTAGTCAGAGATTCACGTAGTAAATTAGCTATGGCTGAAATAGGCCCAAAGCAAGGGAATGGGCTAATTCTGAAGCAAAGTCTATAAAGAATAAACAATCCCTTATTGTTGTCCAGGAATAGTCTGTTGGACTGGAACTGAGTCCATGAAATGATCAAGACAAGCTGGTCAACTCCATATTAGAATCCGAAAAATGATAACAAATTTTGCAAAATATTGGAGAGTAACATATAGAGAATGAAAGTGTCTACTGTTTACCTGGGGGAGAACAATGTGGTTCTGAATCATCTTTCTTAATAAGGGATTAGCCCAGAAAATATTCTTATCTGTCTCAATAATCTCTGTGCACTTTGTCCCGAGGAAACCGCTGGATATCACTACTTTTGTGAACCCCATCATTTTTGTTGAATGTGTGCATTTGTGTCCCTACAACAGTACTCTCCAGGAAACATTTGGGAAATAATTAGTTATTGCAAATGTGCTTTCTTTGAATAGTTTATTAGAGAAACAATTTTGTTTACAAAACATTCACTTTCAAAAATTTTTTTTCAAAATCTGCAACTATCAGGCTAAAATGCTAGTTAATAAATACAGGTGTCTTTAATAAGAATAAAATCCAATGAGAAATATAATCTCTGGCATTTTCCCCAATCTTCCTTAGTTAATTAATATAATTTATTTAGTATATTATTATCACTCTTCTTCAATTTTTCACAATATTTCTTAGGAGTATTTATCAATGTTAGAGGTAGGCCTCTCTAGAGGGCCATATCAGAATCATTTGGTAAACCTTTTCAAGTGACATAGGCTTCCACAACTCATCTCATTCACTCCCTTTCCAAGATTCTTTTTTAAAATATATTTTATTGATTTTTTACAGAGAGGAGGGGAGAGGGATAGAGAGCTAAAAACATCGATGAGAGAGAAACATCGATCAGCTGCCTCTTACACGCCCCCTACTGGGGATGTGCCCACAACCAAGGTACATGCCCTTGACCAGAATCGAACCTGGGACCCTTGAGTCCACAGGCCGATGCTCAATCCGCTGAGCCAAACCAGTTAGGGCCCTTTCCAAGATTCTTATACCTCTTTTCCATTTAGAGACTGTTTTTGTGAGCTGCTGTTGCTAATGCTAGTGCATCTAATCGATTTGGCTTGCTAAAATGAAAATCAATAGTTGAGGCCCAATAGGGCAGAGTGGTGCTTAGCAAAAGTCATGAAGTCTGACCTAGCTCATACCCATATCCAATATTTGTTGTAGGCTGCTATGTAGTTTCCAAGAGTCCCAATTTTTCCTTCAGCCTAAAGGGAAAAACAATGTCTCCCTATTGCATATGGTCATTCATTAAGTTGTAGATATTATTATTTGTGGAAGACTTGGAAAGTTCTTTGAAGGGCCAGTATTTGCCATTCTAATGTAGAAGAAAGAATATAGGATTTGGATGTCCTATCTCTGCCTTCTTTATAGATACTCAGTATTGCGTAATACAACTGAGTTTTGTAGTTGTTTTATCTATGATAAAACAGGAAGAGCATATCTCTCCTGCTTACTCCACAGAGATGTGTTGGGTATGCATGAGATAAGCTAAGCAATAAGTAATGTAATATCACAATAAATTGTTTTTCAATTTATTATTATGCAAGTTTTAAGTGCAAGTCAGTCTGACCTATAATGCTTGAGTTTCTCCTTATAGGAATCCTTTGAAAAATAAATTTTTATATTTTTTGAAAAAATGATATTTTCTGTAGGTAAAAAATAATGGAGTAGGGTAAGCTAAAGAGATAAACTCTGAAACAGTGGGTAGTGACAGGTACTCAGACATATTCCCATCAATTCATAATTTTTGCTTATATGGTGTAACAGAGGTTTTCATGTAATTATACATGCAAGGAATACTCTTATTTCATTATCAACTCACAAACTGTCATGGTGAATGCAGTGCCCATCACATCCAATGACAGCTCTTCTGTGACATGTTGATGAAATGCATAAGTTACAAGCAATGATAGAGGAGCCCAGCCCTGCTCACACCTCCCTCCACTCTCATTATTGAATTTCTTCCACACATTAATCAATTTTCCTTAAGTGACTGAAATTGCACAGATCGAATATGACTTCATAAAAATTATTTATTTTAACTAAAACATTGCCATTGACTTTAATTTTTATAGATCAAAATAAGTGTTCTTTCAACATTTCAATAAATTGCCTAAAAATATCTCTTTATTTTTTCTAGGTTTGCCAAGAATTGTTTTATAAATCAAATAAAATCTAAGTTACAAATTCTTTTCTATAAACATTACAATGTACCGTTGCTTGATCATCCCCAGATTTATTTTAAATGTGTTGTTTTAAAAATACAAATTAAAGAAGGATGACTACAATTATTAGAATATACTATATAGAGAGGAAAAGTTACTGAAGTAAGTTCAGATAATAATTTTACCTGACAAGTTAGTGATTATTGTAGCTATGTGACTACCAGTATTCCATTTCCTAGGGACAAATACATTTGGATTACCTGAGGTAATCGCTGACATGGCAAGGATTGGAGGCCTTTGTTCAATTTCCACCTGCTATCTAAGCCAGTGTCTGTAATACTCAAATCATACGGCAGTAGTCTTTGTGCTCCTTCCACTTGTTATTTACTCTTTATTATGAATTATCATTTCTCCAGAGAATCCCTGAACTAGCCAGTGTTAACTGCCTTCACTAGGCACTTTGCCACACTGCCAGAATAAATGGCTTCATTGATTGTTTTATTTAAGAGGATCTTCAGAGTGCTGGATTCTGTCTGTTAAACATTTATTTCTGTCTATGTAAATATATACAATCATTTTTATAATATTTGACACTGGTTCATTTAATCTAATCATGATTATTTAACATTGCATCGTACTATTTTCTTACGTTTAATAAGGATCAATGACCAATTCCTTTAATTGTATGACAAAAACGTTAATAAAATATGATTATTAAAGCCAAATAATAAAACATTATATAACTGAAAACTAAATTTATTCTATTATAGAACTTATCTTTCTTCTTAACTTAATTGTACATTTTTCTTCCTTTCTCTTCCTATTTTTATGTTAGCAGTATCTGTAAGAATAAGTTTTTTCTGTAAATCACAATATAAATGGATGTGTGTATGCAACAATGTGATTTCAATTTATGGTAACATTCAGGAATAAAATAACAGTTGATAGTTTGTGAATTTCTGGCATAAGAAATCAACGTGAATTATAAATCATAAATCAGTCTTTTGTAAGAAGAGTGTATAAAATTGATTTGCTGGGGAAAAGTATCAACAAACACAGGTAGTAGTTACCACTTAGCATAAAACTAATAGTTTTCAAGGTATTTTAACAAACTCTACAATTGATGAGCTTACAATAATCAATTCTGTTTCTTGCTTTAAAAAAAAATCCCACCTTCACTATCACATTGTAAACTACCATTCAGTGAAAAAAATCACAGTTCTCATTGAGGTGATACTGTAATAAGCATTAAAAAAGAATTAAAACTACCTATGCAATCCACTACTTATGGAAACAGTGAAACTATACATGTATGTGTGAGTATATGCAAAACACATAGTGCATATATTTAAGTGCATTCATACTTGCATATATAGCTCCCCATAGCCATACATTATGCTAGAAAATCTAAGAATCCTTTCTACTGGTCTGCAAAGAAAATCGTTAAAGGGTGGCATATAATATGAATTGAAACACTTACTGTGGAAGGATTGAAGAATATTGATTGTCCATTCATCTGTTAATCTTCCTGTTCTTGTTATCTGAATACATTTGAGCTGATTTGAAGATTCTCTCGATTCAATCCAACAAATCATATCCTCATTATAAATAAAATCCAGAGCATGAATTTCATTTCCATTGACTGAGGTCAAGGTTGCCATTTTACTTCCATTAAGATAGAAGACCTCAATGGTTTCAGAATTTGCAATTAACAGCATAGGTGGCCTGTCTGTAGGTTCTGGGATAAAAGAGAACGTGAAAAGTGAGTTCCGTGACAAAAAGTCCCTTTTTACAATTTTGCATTACTTATTGAATTATTCTGTATTTTAATGCATCTTTAAAATAAAAAAATACTTATAAAAACATTTATTAATAACCCTTATGTATGCTTCACTAAGTATATATTTCAGTTAACTTCTCTAAGGAAAATGGTCCACTGAGCATTTTGTATTCTTTGTTTCCTTAGTTGTAATGGGTTGTCACAATATAAGAACTTGCTGTTTACTTCCATTGCTGGTAAATAAAGGGAATGCTGTGAGTTATTTTTATGGCAATGATGCTGGATCTGGTTTCCCTGATGAGCAAGAGCATGCTTTTCTGAGGTGGATATAGGAGGTCAGAAATACATGCTCTGGATCAGAACATGCAAAGCTCACAGGCTCATACAAAGAGTGACTTTAGCCTCATTGGTTCCTTGACTGGCCCCAAGAGTCAAATAATCACACATTCCCTTAGTGACTAGATTATGATTATTGAGCTACTTCCTTGCACATTTCTTCCCTATGGTCAGGAAAATAAGATTCTAAATGGAACAGCAACAAGTTCAATACTACTTATTGAACAATGCATTTTTGCTTGTGTTAGTATTGATAATTGCCTAGAATTTCAATATCTTTAATATTTGAAGGTAATAGTAAATCCTATATAATAAAAGGCTTATATGCAAATCGACCTAATGGGGGAACGACCTGTCACTATGATGCACACCGACCACCAGGGCGCAGACGCTCAATGCAGAAGCTGCCCCCCTGGTGGTCAGTGCACTCCCACTAGGGGAGTGCCACTCAGCCAGAAGCTGGGCTCATGGCTGGCAAGCACAGCAGCGGTGGCAGGAGCCTCTTCTGCCTCTGTGACAGTCAGACATCCCCCAAGGGCTCCTGGAATTCAAGAGGGTGCAGGCTGGGCTGAGGGACCCCCTGAGTGCACCAATTTCATGCACTGGGCTTCTAGTCTAATATAAAATTAGTGTTGAAAGTGTTTGGCTAGCCCTGACTGGTATAGTTCAGTTGGTTGGAATGTCAACCTGTACATCAAGAGGTAATGGGTTCCATTCCCAGTCAGGATACATACCTAGGTTGCAGTTTAGATCTCAGTTTGGGCAAGTACAAGAGGCATCCAATTGATGGTTCTCTCTCACTCTCTCTCCTTTTCCTCTATCTTAAAAAATAAAATAAAATCAAAAAACATATCCTCAGGTGAGAATTTAAAAAAAAGACAAAAGAAAAACCATTAAAAATTGTTTAGCAGTACAATCTATACCAGTGGTTCTCAATCTTCCTAATGCTGCGACCCTTTAATACAGTTCCTCATGTTGTGGTGACCCCCAACCAAAAAATTATTTTCGTTGCTACTTCATAACTGTAATTTTGCTACTGTTATGAATTGTAATGTAAATATCTGATATGCAGGATGTATTTTCATTGTTACAAATTGAACATAATTAAAGCATAGTGATTAATCACAAAAATGATATGTAATTATATATGTGTTTTCAGATGGTCTTAGGCGACCCCTGTGAAAGGGTAGTTCGACCCCCAAAGGGGTCAAGACCCACAGGTGAGAATCGCTTATCTATACTAATAAAAGGGTAATATGCTAATTAGACCGGGAGACCTTCCAGAAGACCTTCCGGATGTCCTTCCGGACAAAGCCATGGTGGCGGGGCCAAGGCAGAGGCAGTTAGGGGTGATCAGGCCAGGAGGGGAGGGAAGTTGGGGGTGATCAGGCTGGCGGGGGGATGGCAGTTGGGGGCGAGCAGGCCAGCAGTGGGGGAGTGGGGGGGTAGTTGGGGGCAAGAAGGCCAGCAGGCAGAGTGGTTAGGAGTGATCAAGCAGGCAGGCAGGTGAAGGATTAGGAGCCAGTGGTCCCGGATTGCAAGAGGGATGTTTGGCTGCTGGTTTAAGCCTGATCCCACAGTCGGACATCCCCTGAGGGGTCCCAGATTGGAGAGGGTACATGCCGGGCTGAAGGACACCCTTCCCCTCCCCTGTGCACAAATTTTGTGCACCAGACCACTAATCCTATGTAATAAAGACCTAATATGCTAATTAGATCAAATAGCTGAACGACCTTCTGGACGTCCTTCTGGACGACCTTCAGGATAAAGCCGTGTCTTCGAGGGCCAGCCAAGGCTGCCAGGGCTGTGAGGGCCAGCCAGGGCTGCGAGGGCCGGCCAGGGCTGTGAGGGCCAAGCCCCTTCCATGAATTCGTGCATCAGGACTCTAGTTATATTATAAAGGTAGCTTTTTTGCTACTTAGGAAGTACTAAAGAATTTGAACATCTTGAATTCCTCTTTTTTCCTATCCTATATCCAATGTATCATTAAAATCTCTTTGACTCAGATGTCAAACTTATTAGGAATCCCACCATTTCACAGTGACTACTACTACCATCCTGCCCCAAGCAGCCATCATCTCTTAACTAGATCATTTCAATCGCTTTCTAACTGGTTTTGTCACTTCCATCTATCCCCTCCTCTTCTTTAGTCTCTCTCAATATGGCAGTCGGAGTTATTATACCTTTACAATATTAAGGCAGATCCAGTCAATCTTCTGCCCATTTCCAAGAGGGCTCTCATTATCAGAGTAAAAGTCAAAACCTGTGTCCTGGTGTTTAAAGCCTTACCTGATTTGACCTAATTTCCTTCATCTCGTAACTACTCTCATCCTCCTGCATCTCATTTCAGACATGGTGCACTTCTTACTTGCCCCTTTTTGATCAAGCCAGGTAAGCTGCTCAATCAGAGGCTCTTTATTCTTCCTGGAATTATCATCCCCAATATATAGCCAACTTGCTCACCTCCTTTTAGGCATTATTTGAATGTCACCTTTCTGGTGAGGGTATCTCTAGCTCATACAAATTGCAAGCCACTATATCTCCATTTCTTGCATTATTTTTCACTTATCATCAAATATAGATATCTTATTTATTTTTTCTGATTCATTGTTTTTCTACTTTTGCTGATGTAGCTCTAGAATTTTGATAAAGCTTGGAACCCAGTTGGTCATTCAATACAAATTTTCTGAATAAATGAAAAAGACACGTGAAACTCTTGCCCAGTAAAATTATTTAGAAACATCCTGTGAAATATTACAAAATAATTTGGTTTCTTAACCTATGAATGGAACCCAGAGAAAGGTGGGATATTCAGAAAATTTCATAAATATCATTTGATCTTTCAAGAAACTTACACTGAGAAATGTAAAGATAGAAAAAAAAGCCAAAACGTGAGTATTTGAATTTTTACCCCCCTAAACAATTCTCTCAATCAAGCCATAGAATTTTTCTCTGCCTTCAGTAAGATAATGAAAGATTTTGACTTTATAAAAGCAACAAAGGAAAGAAAAACAACAGCAAAAAAAAAGCTCAATGAAATTATAAAATGGTTAGCCCAACGGTCTCTTTCTCATGGAGAAAACAGACTTGTTCTGGACAGCCTAGTATAAGCCAACAAAAAAGAAGTCTCAGTAATGTTAAGATCATAGCCAGTAAAGAGTTCTCTCAGCAGCAATGTTAAAATTGTGAATTATCACTGCTTAGCATACCCTTGTCAAGGGACTCCATCTGAGCTTGGTTAGCCAGTTGGCTTCTCTCCTAATCTCTTAACATCATTTTGAACCACCTAATAGTTGCCCTTGACAGTTCCTAAATTTGGAAGTCCAGAGTTAGTCTTTATTCAACACTCCTGGCTCTGCTTGTTTGTTTGTCCACCCCCTTTCCCCCTCCCCACACACACACTTGACAGTGGCACTTTTGAAACCTGTTAGATCATAGATTTCTCAGGTTAAGAAGGGGTCTTAGATGGCTGTGCTATCAGTTTAGCAAAGATATACTGACATTAATGTCAGAGCTTATTTTCTTCACTTGATAATTGAAATGACCTTTAGTGAAGTTGCCTCTCCTTAAAAAATGAACCATTATTTAAAGAAATCTTCTTTGCTACCAAGCTTTCTGAGAAGTCCAGATGTAGACAATCATTTCTTAATTGGCTACTAGTCAGTAAATTTAAGTATGTTGTAAACATTATTTGGAGAGAGACTGGAATACGAAGGAACACTGAAATTCCTGAGAAACTGAGATACAAATGAATTAAGGATCAACACAGCCAATGATTAATTGACATTAATGTTTAAATGATCAATCTATTTGATTTTTGTAGGTGCTTTCTTCTAGTGAATCAGTTGATGTTTTAATGCAAAATATATCAACCTATGATTTTAAAAGCTGCAGGTAAACAGAAAATCAATCAAAAGATCAATCAAAAGAAAAGCTAGATGCTTCATGTTTTGATTTAATAATGGTAACTTTAAAATTCAAATGACATACTGGAGGATGTATACTTACAATATTAGTTGTGATGTCCTTTACTGAAATAATATTTCTGTGTCTATGCTAATTACTAACTATGGTTTTACTATAAATATATATATATGTATATATACATCTACACTAATAAAAGAGAAACATGGTAATTGGCGTACGACTGCGCTACCCTTTTCATTGGCTAATCAGTGAGTATATGCAAATTAACTGTCAGCCAGTCAAAAATGTAAAAGTCCTCTTAGCAAAGTAAGAATAAAAGTAAACATTTTAAAATAAATAAACATATATATGTACGTATATATATATATAACATGCACGTGCATGATATGTAATAAAAACATATGCAATTTGGAGGTTTTAATAATCTTCAATTAATTCCAAATACCAGTTAAATCAGGGTCAAGACGATTATTTAATTTTTTAAAAAATGTTTACATTGTAATGAGGCACTGAGCAATGTAATAAGACAAACAAAAACAAATATGATGTACAATATTTGGAATTTTTTTTAAAAAAACCTGTTATTTAAAAAACATATCATTACCTACGTAGCAAATGCAATAAAATCTATCAAACATTTTTTAATGTGACAAGAACATCCTGAAATTAAGATCAATATTACTTTATACCTTTAG